TATATATAGTGCATAAATAATTTATAAATTTGTTTTATGCTTATGGGCTTCCTTGTTCAATTTGATTTTTCAAAAGAGAGATCTTACTTTAAAGTTATTTGAAATTGCATATATCAATGAAGCAGTTATGACCATTTTTTTCATTCAGTGATGCTTTTGTAAATGTTACTAAACCCCTTCATCATAATGGAACCTCAACCAAAGGTTCAAAAATCAGAGTTAGTTGGTTTGACAAAAAATACAAAAAATAAAAAGTTATACAAAAATATAGCCAAGTAAAAATTGCTGGACAATAAAATAAATGAAAAAAAAAACAGCATAGTACACGCACACATACAAAAATATGTTTTTGGACTTTCTGAATGTCTGAGAACAGTTTTGTTCAACATCACATTAAAAGTCTGGTTCCTTGGAGGCAAAAACAATATTTATCATTATAACATTTGCATTGCTTTGTTTTTTAAAAGCTTGTAGTAGATTTTGCTCATTGTTTAGCGCCTGATGGTGGCGCTGTTGTGCCGCTTTGAWAAGCTTCGTTCTAGAATTGTCGCATTTCGTTCCCCCGTTGCACGCATGCGCGCAAACCGCCGCGACCTCGCGAGAGTTTACTGATGTCGCACGATGTTTGAAGAGATTCCAGCGCCTCGGTTGTAAACCAGAGTTAACTGTTTATGTTTCGGTGCTGTTTTTGCCGGGCTTTACTGAAAGATAACATTATTGTTAATCTCGTGGTCCAACGGAGAAGTTTTATCACTAAGCGCTGAAGATGTAAGTTTAAAATTTACTCTGCGTTCCCACGTGGATGTTAAGCGTTTTATAAAGCTAATGCGGATCTGGAAGCTAGCACTAGCTCACTCAGCTAGCGCACGAGTTAGCTTCAGCTGTGTACAGTAACGTACTAAGAGAAAAACGTGTCATTTAGCTCTACTATGAATGACCGCACGTCCCTTTAATGTAGCTTTTTACCCTCGGTTTTTAGCTTTTATTAATGATTTGTTTCTGCCTCTTAACCGGAGCGTAGCTATAGTTAGCTGTGCGGCTAATTTCAACGGGCATGACTAGGGTAAAGTTAGCAGGCATGGATGGAGTCGGATTCATGCCCATGATAAGACTTTGAGCTAACGTAATGTAACACCATTTCTCCCAAATTTGTTGTTTATATGTTACATTGGCAGCTTGTGTTAAAACTATTTCACTCCATCTGGTTTCAGAAAGTTTACCATTTGTTTACATGAACACACCTTATTATCATTTAAGTGCTTTGAGGATGATATTGGCTGTGAAACAGGCAAAATAAATTTAAGTTTGAGGTTTTCTTTCTAATATATAACAAAGGAGTTTTATTAACAAAACTCAGCCTCAGCTACTTCACTACACTATTTCGACTGCAATATTAATCAAAACAGCTTTATGTTTTGAATGATCAGTAATTTAAAATTAATTATATTTTGCTTTAATTTGATGTTATGTGTTTTACCACCTTACTTCTACAGGCTTCCTGCAACAGCAAAGTGGTACGATAGAAGAGACTCTGTTTTTGTAGAGTTCTGCGTGGAAGACAGTGAAGATGTCAAAGTAAATTTTGACAAATCAAAAATGGAATTTAGGTAATTTACATTCTCACTCCAATTTGCCTGAATGTTTTCAAGAAAGGTTAAATTTAAGCTTTGGATTCATCAACTATGTAGAAACAAATGAAGAAAACTTTTAGCACCTGGACCAGAAATGTCTTAATCTATTTTTATTTGTATCATACAGCTGTGTCAGTGGGACAGATAATGTCAAACTTCACAATACAGTGGACCTTTTTGGGGAAATTGACCCCAAAGTAAGTTTTATCAACTGCAAGTTTAACAAAAGTGGTTATGTGTTAGATTTTTTTTCTCCACTCATTAATAATCATAATTTCTCTCTGTAACACACAGGACTCCAAGCACAGACGCACTGACAGATCTGTCTTGTGTTGTTTACGAAAAGCAGAGCCTGGGAAGTCATGGCCACGACTTACTAAAGACAAAGCAAAGGTAATTCTTGCTGTTTAAGAAATACACCTGTTTTCATTGTTTTATATTACTTATAAGCAATTAGTCTCTTACCAGTACATGATTAATGCTTTCTGTATTTCCTCTGGTGGTGGACAAAATTCTCCCTTCGCGCTCTAGTTTCCATCACTCTGCTCTACCTCCGTCAAACAAAAAATGCAAAACAACAACTTTCCTCTCTTCTTAGACACACTGTAACTCCTACCCATTTGAATATCTTAAACAAAAACATTAAAGTTACATTTTTATTTTAATTCCAGTCCAGAAAAACCCTCATTGTGGAAACTCAAATCATTTACTATTTAAATCCCCTCAGTAACAGTGGACATCCGCGTACCTCGTTCGTTTGTTTGTTTATTTATTTTTTGACTTTTTAAAATCTCAACTGCTTCTAAACTGGATGTGCTCCAATCAATATTTACTGCCGGTAAAACTGTSTAAAAATACTTCACAGAATCTCACTTAAGATTGACCTCTTGATAAAATAGAACAAACTGTTATAGCAAATTATTTTGTCCACATGTCTTTCAATTAAAAAAAAATTATCTGCAAGTGTGATTAAAAAAAATCAGATTATAATTTTTACTTTGTAGATG